GTTGTCCTTTTTAAATGATGCAGGCCCAGTTTTTTTGCAACATCAAACATTTGTGAAAATCTGTTTCCCATAACCACTTGTGAGGTGAGTTCCACCCCAGGCTCGGTGGGCAAAAAAGTTTGCCAGGGGAGGGGGGCCCAATTGGGGAAAAAGTCCCACAAAATTTTTACAAATGGTAAAATACCCACACCCAAAGCAAACAAAGCACATATGCAGTTTAATTTTGATCCTTTTTGACAACTTTCGCCCAAAAAAACTTTTTTCCCTCCTTTCCCACATAAGAACTAGGGAAAACGCAAAAGGGCTTTTCACCAACTTGTCCAATACCCCTGCCAAGCTACCCAAGACTCTATAACCCCACCCGGTAGATCATCAGATGCAGCATTCTCCACCTGACCTCAACATTCTGAACCTGACTATAAATACTCCCGTACCTTCCACCCCAGGTAGCTTTCTAAGAAAGCTTTCTAAGAAAGCTACCATCGTACCAATTCCAAAGCCCAAGGACCCAGGCAGTATGAGACCCATATCGCTGACTAGCTGCTTAGCCAAGACTGCTGAGAGGATGGTGTTAAACCGCCTCCTATGGAAACTTGGACCCTCTCATCATCACATATTTCGCTTCACCAAAGGAGTGGGTACAGCAGAGTGCATAACCACTCTACTAAGCCAGATTGCTGATAGTAGCAAAAAACCTAGTATCGTCGTCTACCTCGACCTTGAAAAGGCATTTGAGCTAGCCAGCCCCACAGCAATTCTGGCAATACTAGCTCGGAAGGGAATCAAAGGACGCCTCCTGGCCTGGATAGACCCCTACCTTAGGGGCAGGCAGGCCCTTTTGTCAACTTTCAGGGAAAACTACTCTTCCTTTTAAAACCCGGGAAAACGGTACGCCACAAGGAGTTGTGCCAGTCCTACCCTGTTTAAACATCCTTATGCGGGAAATTTGTGACCTTCCCTTTCAAGTGGTACACAGCTCCTCAGCTATGCTGATGATCTTGCACTCGTAGTGAATGGAAAGGGCAATTTAGAACGACAGGCTCAGAGAGCTTTGGGCCTAATTATTTCATCCCTTTCAAGGAACTAGCCTCAAGATCTCGGCCGAGAAATCTCTTGCAATGATGTTCAAGGGACCAGATCCTTGAATAGATTACGAAATTTAGGATATAGAACTTGAGTGGACAGGCTCTACCTGTACTTGGGAATCTACATTGATAAAAAGCTGACCTTTCAGAAAAAAGGCCGAGTATGTTAGGTCACGTGCTCTACTGAGACTCAACGCCATGAGAGCCATGACGAGGCACTGTGCAGGGGCAAGCAAAGATGTACTTCGCTTGTACTATATACAAGCTATACGCTCGCTCATTGACTACGGTGCACCGGCGTTAGCTTATCTCTTCCCGCAGAGCAGGCAAAGAGTGGAGGTCCCTACAAAATCAGGCGATAAGAACTATGCTTGGGGCCCCCATCTGGACCAAAACAGTATGTCTCAGATCTGAGGCCCCCGGTTCCTTCCTTGGCTGACAGAGTAAGATATATGAACGTCTGCAAAGTGGCCACGATTCTGCACCGGCAGCAAGGTACCCCACTAAGGAGACGGATATTGACAACCATGGCACAAGATCCCACACTCTTCACGGACTACTCCTGGATTCGTTCGTTTTGTGCTGCTGGGGGAAGCTGCTGCCTATACAACTACTCCCTGAGAAGAGTTGTGGGCCTTCCTTTGCTGGGTACCATCCACCACCTCCCTGGCGCCCAGATCCAGCCGATGTTTTGGGATCATGCAACTACCCATCTCTAAGCGTCCCCTGCAGTCAAGACACCCTCAGCAATCATGCTGAGACAAGCATGGCACTGGCAGAGGGAGGCACATGTGTAGTGTATTTCACAGATGGTTCTGTCGACCCGACAGGAAGAGAGCAGCAGCTGGACTGTACACAATGGTCACACACAAGGCTGGCGACTCCCTGACCACTGCACGATCCTTCAAGCTGAGCTGGTGGCGATTCAGCAGGCATTGCCCACATGCCCTACGACATCGACTCCGACCTGTCATACATGTTAAATTCCACCTCTGCAATCAATGCCCTCTCCCATCCTCAACCACGGACAATGTTCACCTCATCACATCGATCCTGACATAATGGCAGCCTTAGAAGTTCAGGGTAACAGATCGACATTGAACTGGATCCCCAGCCATGCTGGCATCCGGGGAAATGAGGGGCAGATGATGCAGCCAAGGCAGCAACAGACTATCCACATGTTGGGATTACTGTCCCAATCAGCCTACGACAGACCAAACTGGTGGCTGCCAGAGCCATGAAACTTATGGGGGAGGTCTTAGGTGATACCCCATCTCAACAGTGGTACCGAGCAGCGACTCAGGGAGAACCCCCTCCATATGATAGAAGCTGGTCCAGAGCGCAGTGTACCGCCATCCATCGGCTTCGTTTGGGCTTTCCCACAGCCAAGATGATGGTAGACAAGGCTAAGGAGGAGATGTGCCAGTACTGTCAGCACGTCGTCCAGCGGCCCCTAACACACTATCTTCTGGAGTGCAAAGTTACTGAGACAAACCATACCCCGGCCGGGATTGAACCCGCGGTCAGAGAGTCTCAAAACTCCAGACCGTCACGTTAGCCACTAGACCAGCTAGCCACAATAAGATTCGTCCAACTAGGTATATTTCTACACCATAGGAAGGTTAGCATAGGCACCACTGTGATCACAAATGCAAGTTTTTACAGACGAATCTCCAGCTAGCGTGGCCGTGACGAACTCAAGCTCAAGTCCCCTCACTGCCGTCAACATGACTCACGAAATCGTAATGACACGATTGGAAACAAACCATACCCGGCCGGGATTGAACCCGCGGTCAGAGAGAGAGATTTCGTTCGGATTTTTAACCCCGGAGGGTTAGCCACCCAGGATAACCCAAGAAAGTCAGTGCGTCATCGAGGACTGTCTAACTTATTTCCATTGGGGTCCTTAATCTTGTCCCCCAGGATGTGACCCACACCAGTCGACTAACACCCAGGTACCTATTTTGCTGCTAGGTGAACAGGACAACAGGTGTAAGGAAAAGTGTCGAATGTTTCCACCCGCCGGGAATTGAACCCGGGCCCTCCGTGTGTGAAGCGGGAGCTTTAGCCACCAGGCTAACCTTCCTATGGTGTAGAAATATACCTAGTTGGACGAATCTTGTTGTGGCTAGCTGGTCTAGTGGCTAACGCGACGGTCTGGAGTTTTGAGACTCTGACCGCGGGTTCAATTCCGGCCGGGGTATGGTTTGTTTGCAATCGTGTCATTACGATTTCGTGAGTCATGTTACTGAGGCACTCCGCAGGCAATTAGGAGTGATATTCCCTCCCGAAGAGGACCCAGAGATGACTGCAGCCATACTAGTGTACCATGGAGTCAACGAACCAGACAAGCTGTTACCTGTGATAACGACATATCCTCCTCCTCGCTAGTGTCCACAGTTAGGAGTACATATGGTGTTGTCGCTTATGAGATGCACCAGGTGAACTGACCAGAAGAGTGCTTGAGCAGCATGCGTCGCATCATTGTATAAATCTTTCTCCCTCGGGAGCCAGAGACGGGTCATCGCAAGATTGAGACCCGTGCCCGGACTACAGTCTTGGCGAACATTATACATACACCCCAGGTAGATCTGTGTGTGACTTGAAAAAGCCCACTGTGTGGGCGAAACGTTGTCAATAAAGGATCACATTAAACTACATATGTGTTTGTTTCCATGATTCCATGTATCAGAAATCTTCCCTATGAGGATAGACTGAGGGCCCTGAATCTGCACTCTCTCGAAAGACGTAGAATTAGGGGGGATATGATCTAGGTGTATAAATGGAAAACAGGAATAAATAAAGGGGATGTAAATAGCGTGCTGAAAATTTCCAGCCAAGACAGGACTCGCAGCAATGGTTGCAAATTGGAAAAATTCAGATTCAGGAAGGACATAGGAAAGCACCAGTTTGGTAATAGAGTTGTGGATGAGTGGAACAAACTCCCGAGTACAGTTATTCAGGCTAAAACGTTGTGTAGTTTTAAAAATAGGTTAGATAAATACATGAGTGGGTGTGGGTGGGTGTGAGTTGGACCTGACTAGCTTGTGCTGCTGGGTCTGGTGCCGTGCTCCTTCCTTGAGTGGAGGTGGCAAGACAGGGTGGGTCATTGGGCTCATCGGGGGGGGGGTACTGGGCTAATCCCTAGTGGGTGGGTCATTGGGCTAATCCGGGGGAGGGGGTCATTGGGCTAATCCGGGGGAGGGGTCATTGGGCTAATCCGGGGGAGGGGGGTCATTGGGCTAATCCGGGGTGGGGGTCATTGGGCTAATCTGGGGGAGGGGGTCATTGGGCTAATCCGGGGAGGGGTCATTGGGCTAATCCGGGGGAGGGGGTCATTGGGCTAATCCGGGGGAGGGGTCATTGGGCTAATCCGGGGGAGGGGGTCATTGGGCTAATCCGGGGGAGGGGGTCATTGGGCTAATCCGGGGGAGGGGTTATTGGGCTAATCCGGGGGAGGGGGTCATTGGGCTAATCCGGGGGAGGGGGGGTCATTGGGCTAATCTGGGGGAGGGGGTCATTGGGCTAATCCGGGGAGGGGGTCATTGGGCTAATCCGGGGGAGGGGTCATTGGGCTAATCCGAGGGAGGGGGTCATTGGGCTAATCCGGGGGAGGGGGTCATTGGGCTAATCCGTGGGGGAGGACATGGTACCTGCTCCGCATGGGTCAGTAGACCTGTTGCAGTGTTCCTTCTCTCTTGTGTTCTTACTTTCTTTTAAGAGCTTTGTCTACTCCAAGTTGCTACATACCTATTACATTTCAATATATTTTTTGGTAAATAACGTTAAATAAGCATATATTTAATTCATGAAAGTTTATTGTGTGATATATGAGATTTTATTTTGCCTATATTGTATAGAAAAAGTCTGTGAAAATTCTTTAAATGTCTGGAAGAAAGATAATAGGTTCGTTGTGTGAGACAACAGCTAGGATGGGGGGTCGAGGCAACAATAGATTTCTCTCGAGAAATTTGCTCATCCAAGCCAAACCTGACGGCTCTAGACAGTATTACGGTAAGTTGATCTTGAGGGGGTAATACAGGGGTGGCCACTGATGAGAAAATAATGAAGTTTTGGTCACTATTGAGTGTTAATGGTGATGTTTTGCAGGTGGTGGTATTGCGCATTGCTGATGAAAGACGCTTGTCTGTTTATTTCCTTTTGTGGGGCAGAAAAAACAGTGATCTGGGTGTGTATATTTTACCTTCTGTGGTGTACACGTGTATGTGAGCCTTGTACAAACCACAGTTACTATGTTTCACATGTACATTGGTATGGTAGCGTTATTATAGTGGCTCACAGGACCGTAATGGACATATGTATCTTTGTCTAAAACTTTTTTGGTTACTCTGTGAAGAATTAGACACATGCAACATCTGGGTAGCTTTATTTCTAGACTTTTCACCATCCAGTAGTTTTATCAATACAAGGAAAATAATGTTAATAATGTAGAAATAATAAAAAAGATGAGGTAGTCAGTGTTGAGCTGGTGTAGGTCACTGTAGCTGGTGAAGATCACTGTAGCTGGTGAAGATCACTGTAGCTGGTGAGATACTGTAGCTGGTGAAATCACTGTACTGGTGAAGATCACTGTAGCTGGTAAAGGTCACTGTAGCTGGTGAAGATCACTGTAGCTGGTGAAGTCACTGTAGCTGGTGAAGATCACTGTAGCTGGTGAAGATCACTGTAGCTGGTGAAGATCAGTTTACAGTGTTTCTTCACCAGCTACATGTTTCTTAAACCAGCTACAGTGATCTTCACCAGCTACAGTGTCTTCACCAGTTACAGTGATCTTCACCAGCACAGTGATCTTCCCCAGCTACAGTGATCTTTACCAGCTACAGTGATCTTCACCAGCTACAGTGATTTCAGCTACAGTGATCTTCACCAGTTCAGTGATCTTCACCACTACAGTGATCTTCACCAGCTACAGTGATCTTCACCAGTACAGTGATCTTCACCAAGCTACAGTGATCTTCACCAGCTACATTTGATCTTCAGGCTACAGTGATCTTCACCAGTTACAGTGATCTTCACCAGCTACAGTGATCTTCACCACTACAGTGATCTTAAACCAGCTACAGTGATCTTCAGCTACAGTGATCTTCACCAGCTCCCAGTGACCTACACCAGCTAAAACACTGATTTACCTCATCTTTTGTATATATTTCTACATTATTAACATTATACCTTGTATTGATAAAACTCTGGATGGTGAAACGTCTAGAAATAAAGCTACCCAGATGTTGCATGTGTCTAATTCTCAACTTATTAGTAGTGTATACTATTTTTATACATTTTACATATGTATGATAATTGTACTTACGTATACTTGTACCTGGAAATAAGTCACTTTGTCTAAAATTTCTTGGGTTATCCTAGGTAATATACACATGATGCTATGTATTCTAATTTATGTAACAGTATTTATTTTACCTGTGTCTGAATAAACTTACTTACCTAAAAATTTCCTCACACCCACCTATGGCCAGTAGTCATAACTTAAAAAACATTTAACACTGATCAAGGTATTTATTACTATTAATGATTTACAAAACCAACAAGCAGAAGAATAAGATATATGTGCAACACCTGGGTATCTTTATTAAGGAGACATTTTACCAGCCAGTTGCTTTTTATCAGCCCAATACAGAGAAAAATTATTTTAGAGGATGGAAGCATAAAAACAATATTTTAAATAGTGGATGCTAATGTGACTTTTTCCAGAGTCTTATACAAGCTGCTCAAGCTGCATATACTCTTTAGAAAAATTAGATCATGTACAAATGACCATAAATGAATGAAGAATAGATTAAAACATCTTTATACTGTACAATATTTAAAAATTATTATTATTATTTTTATTATTATTTTATTATTTTATTATTATTATTTTTTATTATTATTATTATTATTATTATTATTATTATTATTATTATTATTTTTATTATTATTATTTTTTTTTTTTTTTAATTTTTTCTATTTTTTTTATTTTATATTTTATATTATTATTATTATTATTATTAATTTTAATTTAATTTTTATCTTTATTTAATATTTTATATTATTATTATTTATTATTATTATTATTATTATTATTATTATTATTATTATTATTATTATTATTATTATTATTATTTATAATACTGTTATGTTAAGAGCTATGTAATTAAATTCTATAGTAATAAATAACAAGTGGACCAGATGAAATTTTATTTTATTGGGGGAATTGTAGGGAAAGTTCTACATTTGGTTATCATAAAATGTCAACAACTAAAATCTGTACTGTATCATACTAGGAGAAGTGAGCACAATTTTCTAGTGCACACAGTGAGTAATCTGATCTTAACCCTTTGACTGTCGCAATCCCAAATCCTGAGGTGTCTCCTGGTTTTCGCAAAATATTTGAAAAAAAAAAAAAATTTTTTTGTGAAAGATAGATTCTCTATCATTTGATGAAAAACTTACAGAATTACGCTCTCCCCAAGTTAGCAACCTCGGGGACATTTACGCATCGGCTATTTCACTCACTGTGAGCCCTATTTTTGGTCAATCCCATTGTTCCAGTCCACCAAACTCATAGCTGTTTCTTTAGAACTCCATTTGTTCGATTGATTGAATACAAGAAACCGCCCATTTACCGATTTCAACTGCCCAATAATGTGGTCATGCAATTAAAAGATATGTCAATTTCAAAATAGGGTTCAGAATGAAAAAATTTCAGACATTCTGCCACTAAATAACATTTTCTATGTTCATCAGTCGCATCTCCAGGCCCCTGTTATAATTTCCCCTTGCTTTCTGTTTTGAATTTTTATTCACACAAAAATAGAAGATTTACTGTTATGCAGACTACTGCAATATTGTAATAATTGTATAAATAACGTCAACCCATTCGTGACTGCGTATTAGAATGGCTATTGGAAAATTTATTGGACAATGACGTCATTTGTTTACTCTTGAACAAACGGGAAAAATCAAACATTTCTGCCACTTTGAGCTCCATTTCAAGATCCTTTTCATAGTAAAACCAATCAAAACCACTTCTATTTCTATAATATGTTTTACATTCTATCAAATGAGACCAAGAAAACAAGAATACAACCATAAATACTATATGAAAATACACCTCAAAGTCACATTTTAATCCAAAAAGCAGTTTTTTTTTTCCCCATTATGCACTGTGCTGCAGGATTTTTTTTTTATACTGTGCACACTGACCACACACCCATTCTCTCACATGTGGGCCTACCAGCTTTCTCCTGCATGATTTGAAGCCACTAGAATTTTTGAGTATATATACGTCAAACACATTGGCTCGTAAGACGTATATGTATGACCAAAACAGTCAAAGGGTAAAACACCTGTTATTCAGTGATAAAAGGCTGGGATGGATTATATACCTGATATGTTATGGCCAGTCTTACTATAAATCAAAATTAGAACTACAGGTAACCTATGAGGAAGAAGTCTATGAGGAAGAAGGTTGCACTGTTGGGGCATTGAAGGAGCATTGTTGAATTCCCTACTACAAATGTTCTGGGAGTCCTTTCCCTTTATGAAATTAAGTATGAAAAAACTCATAAAAGATTGATTGATATGTTGACAAAAATCTAAATCCTAAACTAGAGATGGGCTAAGGTATTGATATTGGGTAGGTGGGTATTGGTTATTTTTATGGTATTGGTATTGGTGAAAAAGTTATCTGATACCAACCATACTTTTAAATAATAATATATTACACATGCTAAAAATAAATTTCACACATTGCCTTATAATTATGAGAGGGTTCCTCACACTCAGACCCACTCACACTACATACACTTCAGCAGGGTATCATGATTGTTATCTGGAGCAGAGAGTAACAGAAGCCTCATAGCTAACTGTAGGCAATGGAATTAGCTTAAAATAGTACCAAGCGAGCCAAATTGTCGATGCATAAATTTCACCCAGATCACTTACTTTGTGCCTGCATAATTCTCTAAGTTTTCATCAGGTATAAATTTTTTTGTGTTATTACCTTCAAAAAAAGATTCTCTCTAAATTTTAAAAGTTTTTTTAAATGCAGACACTGTGAACATTTAAATTTTTTGGGGTCTCAACAGTGAAAGGGTTAAAGCTTTAAAATAAAGAGCATTATGGGAGTGTTACATGTTTTTTTTGCAAGTTTAATATGTATGGCTATATTACTTACTTTTTTTTTTTTTAATGAACTGGCCATATCCCACCAAGGTAGAGTGACCTAAAAAAGAAAAACGAAAATTTATTATTTAGAAACACATCTAAAATTAAGGGAGCATGTGGGCAATTTTCCGCGCGCGCTCAACCAAAAATCGAAAAATTATGGAAATTGAGTTATATATACCAAAAAATAGCTTAACTCTTTGGCAACACAATGGTACAAGAATCAATGTTCTAAGACGTTTCTACAAGAAATTATAGTCATTTATATCAGGTATGGTAACGACGATGTAGGTAGCGCGTCTGTTCTCAACCCAAGTATTTTTTGGAATTTTTTCCTTGTTTTTTATTTCTTTTTCTTTGCATTATTCTTTCTAATATAATAATTGATTATTTGGCATCATATAAGAGTAGGTGGAGCTTATCAGTAGAGTGCCAGCCAATAGGGAGCCATCTGAGAACACTCGGCAGTACTCCCCCTCCAGATGGTGCCAGGTGAAATCACTTCATTATTACGTTTATATCAGCTTATATATCAACTATACGGCTTATTTATCTATCAGAATTGATCTAATATGATATAATAAACACTATAAATAACAAACAAACATGTTATATACTCTAGACTGAATAAAATAGGCCATAATATAGCGAGAGTCCACCAGCAATATTTCGATATAAATGTGTTACTCCTGGTCTCCTTGTTCTATTGTTTGGTCTGTGAGTGATAGAAAACGGTGTTTTGAAGAGGATAACTGCACTAGAACATCAGTTTACTAAGAAATACACCAAAAAAAACCCGATTTCCGCGCAAAAAAAAATTTTTTTGAGAC